CCCCATTTTACAATTGAGGAAACTTGGGCAAATGGAACAAAATCACTCAGCTAATAAGTTTCTGAGGCTAACTTGGAACTCAGGTCTACCTGACTTCAGGCCCAGTGCTCTGTTATTCATGGAACCTAGCTGCTTGTATATAGGAACAGATGCATGTGCACAATGTTATGTACACTTGGTGTACACAATTGTTTTGCCTCATTTCATTTCAACCTTTAAAATAACTTACTGTAGCAACTAAATTCTCTATACCTTTCAGTCAGTTCTGTCACTGGGAAGATATGATCTGCTGTAGAATATAATTTTCAAAATCTTGACTGTTCTCTTTCCCATATTTTCAGCAAGAATATACTCAATATATATTGGGTCATTGTCATAAGAATTTTATCACTAGGAGCAAGTAATCATATGGGTCAATAGATGCTGATGTCTCCTCTCTCACCTTTTTTTTGGTTAACAGTACTGCTCTTAGTGTTTTCCCCGTCATTTGCTATATTCTCTTCTTTGAGATAAATTGAAAGTAAGGTTTTCTCCCCAACTGGTCAAAATTATGTTGCCTCAAACTTGGATTTCTCTTGAGTTCATTTGGTCTAGTTCAGTAACTCTTCTCAATCCCATCTTTGTCCATTTCCTCATGTAGCACATCAGGTGCAGAAATATTAGAATGAGGTTGTCTGTCATCATTGTATGGTAGTAACTGATGAGAAAAAAATCATCATTGAAATGCTACAAAATCTGTTGTGTTTTCTAGAAGTTTGTGACCAAGATTTGGACAGATTCATTTAGTCCTTCATTGCCTTTAGAGGGTAATTTAGAGGCTAATCAGATATGAAAGTTTGGTATCAATGTAACTAATGCCATACTTATTTTGACCAGAAATAGCCAATGCATTTACATGCTTCATTAAAAGAAAAAAAATCCCCAAATTGATAAATGGCAAAGGATATGAACAGCTAGTTATACTCATATGAAAAAATGCTCTAAATCACTATTGATTAAAGAAATGCAAATCAAAACAACTCTGAGGTACCACATCACATCAGATTGGTTAACATGACAGAACAGGAAAATGACAAATACTGAAGAACATGTGGGAAAATTGGAACATTAGTACATTGTTGGTGAAGTTGTGAAATGATCCAGCCATTTTGGAGAGCAATTTGGAACTATGCCCAAAGGGCTATAAAAATGTGCATATCCTTTGACCCAACAATAGCATTTCTAGGGCTGTATCCCAAAGAGATCATAAAAATGGGGAAAGGACCTACGTGTGCAAAAATATTTATAGCATCTTTCTCTGTTGTGGCAAAGAATTGGAAATTGGGGAAATGCCCATCAATTGGGGAATGGCTAAACAAGTTGTGGTATATGAATGTAATGGACTACTATTGTGCTATAAGAAATGATGAGTAGGCTGACTTCAGAAAAACCCGGAAAGACTTGTATGGTCTGATGCTGAGTGAAGTGAGCAGAACCAGGGGAAAGTTGTACACAGCAATAGCCATGACTAGTGCAATGACTAACTTGGATAGACTTAGCTCTTGTTAGCGATGCAAGGATCTAAGACATCTCCAAAAGTCTCATGATGGAAAATGCTATCCACATCCAAAGAATGAACTATGGAGTCTGAATGCATTTTGAAGCATACTATTTGCTCTTTTTTTTTCTTCTGTTTTATTTAATTTCTTCTTTCTTGTGGTTCCTCTGTTGGTTCTAATTCTTCTTTACAGCATGACTAATGTGAAAATATGTTTAATAGAAATGTGTTTATAGAGCTTATATCAGATTGCACACTGTCTTGGGGAGGGAAGTGGATAAGGAGGGGAGAAAATTTAAAACTCAAAAGCTTATGGAAGTTATTGTTAAAAACTAAAAATAAATTAATTAACTTTTAAAAAAAGAAAAAAAAAACATGGTTAGACTGACATTAAGACCATGTGTCATCATAGAGGAGGATGTTTGTCCTCCCATTTTGTAATTAATTCCCAGAGAAGAGAAGACCTCTATGACATTCAAAGCATTGTGCTGGGCCATTTTTCTCTTGATTTCACAAAAGGGAAGAGAATGGAGCTTGCATACTGTAAGTCAGTGTGCTGTGATTCCTGGAAAATGTTTGAGAATACATTATTTAAAACTGAAGTTCTTAACCTGGAGTCTATGAACTTTTTCTTTTGATAATTATATTTTAATATAATTGTTTCCTTCATAATGCTATGTATTTTATTTCATATCTTTAAAAGTAATATTCTGAGAAAGGATCCATAAGCTTCACCACAGTGCCAGAAGGGTCTGTAATACAAAAAAAAATGGTTAAGAACCCACAATTTAAAAGGTGGTTTGTATACATCTAGAAAAAGAAATGGTGATCACTAAAAGCTAGCATGATTTTATCAAGAACAAATCATGGCAGACCACGCTCATGTCCTTATTAGGCAAGGTTACTAAGGCTGGTGGGTATTGTTTACCTGAATTTAAGCCAAGCACTTGATGAATCTCTCAAGCTATTTTTATGAATAAGAAAGAGAAATGCATACTAATTCAGAGGTGTCAAACTTGATGCCCTTGCAGCCTGAACTTGATGAAAATGTATTATCTAATATTTGGTAATAAGTAGTTCCTCCCCTAAGACCAAGTAAAAAGAGAAGTCTCAAATCCTTTAAATCTAGAGGTTGACCAGGAAACTGGAGAGCTTCTCACTCTCCTTTAATCCACTCTGTTCTCTTAACCCTCACTGTTCCAGTTGTGTGTGTGATGATACTCAAGCTTAGCAATAAAGAAGGTGAAATCCTTAAGTGGATAATGATCATTATGGCCCGGGTTGTATTATAGGGTTGTGGCTTTTAGGGTAGAACTATTTGTGGACTCTCAGTTTCAGCACTGCTGTCATTATAGTGTGGGCAACTATATGGTGAAGCCTGGTTTAACTGAATTTGCCTTTGATAATAACAACTACTAAATATAGGTGCTAGAAAGGCACGTTTTTGAAGAAGCACATTGGATCTTCTGTTCTTCCTATTGTAGCACTGAGAGAGGTTCTATACCAGTCCATTTGACTGGGACCACATCAGCTAGGTTCAGCTCTTGTTGGCTTTGGTCATAATTTGGTCATAATGGCTATTAGCAGAGATTGTGTTAGCACTACTAAGGTTGCACTAGAGAGGATTATGCTAGTTTAAAAGGATTCCATTACATTGAAAAATAACATACAGAAATGTAACATGTAGTGTTTTTAGGAAATCTGATAAGTAGTTAAAACTTATATTTGGTGTAGTATTCAATTTTTAAAAAATAGATGATAATTCTGAATGAGTTGCCATTCGACTTTATTTTTCTCTGATTGGTCTTCTGTGAATAATCACAAAATCCTAGAAACATTCCACCTTATTTTTCTTAAAAAAAAAAAGCAAACTAACCACAGATATTAAGGAAGAGTGCATTTGTTTTGAAAATTAAGAATCAATTAAGCATGTAATTTAAATTAATTTCTGTTGACTGAGAAGACAAATAGGTGATGCTTAAGCTGCATTAGTTTTATGACAGTTAGGTGCCTTCAGCATTAAGATGACAAATCTTCTCATTCTTTTACCATTTGGCTATATGCCAAATGCTCTACAGGCTTAGTAGACTGTCCTTTGTTCAGAGTACCCATGATAGTGTATGTACATAGAGTATGATATTACTGACCACCATATTGGATTGTTGTGGTGGCTCTAGAAGGTCCCCTACAGAACTGTGGTGGTGCAGATTGGTTCTTAGATTGTAGGAGGACCCATTCTAATCCTAAAGCCACTTTGAAGTGGTAATGTAAGACAATGGAAAGACTGCTAAATTTGGAATCAGTGGAACTGTATTAAACCATGGGTTCCATTTACTCTCTTTATGATCTTATTATGGCACTTAAAAAACTTTTGGTGCCTTGGTTTTTTATCTTTAAAATGAGGGTGATGGATTCTATGACCACCGAGGTTTCTTTCAGTTCTGAATATAGAGTGTTCCAAAAGTCTTAGTGCAGTTTTAAGCTTTAATAGCTTAAAACTTCACTACAGCTAGGTCCAGTTTGGTGCAAATAATGAACCTGAAATGGGTAGGTTATTTGAATGTGTATTGGATATTTCCCTTGTGCTTACACTAGTTACCATATTTTATATAATTATAATTTCAAATAGTGCAAATTCAAACATGTGGTACCATTTCAGGAGATTCATTATATGCACTAACAGGGATCTAGCTCTAAGACTTTTGGGACATCCTATATATGATTCTGTGATGGGGCAGATGGGAAACTGCTCTTAGACAAGATCATTTTGAAAGATGAGGACTCATTCCTTCTGGGAGTTTTGCTTCACTGTGTTAGGGAATCTTAAATGAGCCCCTACCCCTTCTCAAGATAGTAATGATGGTATCTGATACTTTAAGGTTTGTAATTACTTTATAGGTCATGTCCTCTGATACTCATAGCAGCTCTGTGAGGTAGGTCATTTAATCTCCATTTTAAGGATGAGGAAACTAAAACTTAGGTTAAATAATAGCCTTGTCATATTCATACAGTAACCCCTCAAATGTATCCTAGAACTTACCAGTCTTAAGGGATTGGCCCCCTCTTACAGAGGACTTTTAGGGGATACTTTAGCTACTTTGAATGCCCCTGAGTTACAATTCAATTTCTTACCTTGTCCTTTGGGTTCTAGAAGAGACTAGATCTACCTCCGTGACCTTGCCTACACCTTTGATATCATTTGAGAATAATTTAGCAGTTGTGGTATACATACTGGATTTGAGGGAATAGTGTAACTGGAATTAATGCCTCAATAAAAAAAAAAGATTGACCATTTGGGTGCCTTCTGGCTGTTCTTTCTCATCATTCCTCATCTCTCAATTTCCTAAATGGCATAGTCAGTTTATTTTAATGTTGAAAGCACACAAGAAGACCTTAAACATGTCAAAATGCCTCTGTGGTAATAATATTTCATTTTTATTTCTCCCTTCTCCTCATTCTCAAGGCTTACTCTGTCTATGATGAAGATATTGGATATTGCCAAGGACAGTCTTTTCTTGCTGCCGTATTGCTGCTCCATGTGAGTAAATTATCTTGTAAAAAAATGAAACTACTATCAAAAACTTTAATTTTCAATTGACTTTATTCTTCCTTTATCACTGATTTCATTTTCCTAATAAAGATTACATAAAGAATTTTCATAATGGAACATTTCCTTATTCTAATCCATATTGTTCACACTGGAACTATTTATTAAAGAAGTGAATTACTGATGTGGAATTATCTTCATACATTTATTTGTGATATTTTTATAATGTAGTATAGTCAGTTTTTGTAAAGGTATCATTTTTAGTTGAAAAATATGTACACTACTTTCATTTCCCATTCAGTTGTCTCCAGCTTTCTATCACATCTAATTTTTTAAAAAATTTTTTAGTGAGGCAGTTGGGGTTAAGTGACTTGCCCAGAGTCACACAGCTAGGAAGTATTATATGTCTGAGGCTGGATTTGAACTCAGGTCCTCCCGACTCCAGGGCCGGTGCTCTGTCCACTGTGCCACCTAGCTGCCCCCCATCATATCTAATTTTTTTAAATTTTCAGGTCCTTAGGATCGTTGTTGTTTTGCCTTTTTATAAGCTTTTTCTAGATCTGGGGACAGACCTCACGTTGAGGTCCACAGCTATTATTTTTTGATTTCTATTTCTCACTGTAATATGTTTAGCATTTCCTTTCAGTACACACATTTTATACTGTATGGGGTGTATGTGTGTAGCTTATAGTTATTATTTCATTATAATCCATTTATATAGATAGATATAGGTGCTATTTTGTTATTTATGGCACCTCTGAACACAGTGTACTTTTCCTGCTTATCTCATCTAACCGTGTCTGTTTTTTCCATCACCTTGTCTGAAGTTATGATTTCTATCTCTGCTCTTTTGAATTCACCTTAAGCATTAAATTCTTCTCCAGATCCTCATTTTAATTCTGTGTAAGTCATTGTATTTCAAGTATGGTTCTTGTAAACAACATATTGTTGGATTCTGCTTTAGAATCCATTCTGCTTTCTCTTCCATTTTTATGAGTGAATTCATCCCATTTATACTTATTGATATGATTTTTAATTATAAGTTTTCCTTTAATATGTCCTTTTTTTTCTTGTGTACCTTTTTTCTCATTGCCCCAATACTCCATCTTTACAAGTCATGTACTTTGTAAAGAAAGTGATAAAAAAAAAAAGACTGTGAACAGCAGTAGTAATCTTTAGGTGGCACAGTGGATAGAGTACAGGGCCTGAAGTCAGGAAGACTCATCTTTCTGAGTTCTAATCTGGCCTCCTACACTTACTACCTGTGTGACCCTAGGCAAGTCACTTAACCCAAAAGTTAAGATGAAACTTTCTTCATCTGGAAAATGAACTGGAAGAGGAAATGGCAAGTCAAGCTAGTGTCTTGGCCAAGAAAACCCCAAATGGGGTCATGAAGAATTAGACATGACAATGACTGAACAACAAGAAGCAATCTTTAATTAAGGTGATCTGCTCCCATTCCTCTTGTCTTCCTCTTTTCACCTAGCCCAGACCCCAGTCCCTGCTTCTTATACTTTATTTTTCTCCATTTAATTCTTCCTTTATGATCCCTCCTTGAAGTTGAAGTTTGTTTTGCTTATGACTGCTTCTCCTCTGACTCTGCCCTCTTAAAACTTGCTCTCCTTCTCCCTATACATACCTGTTTCTCTGCTGAAACATTTCTGGCCTTTGAGGTATTGGTATTTCTGATTTTTTTTCCCCAGTGAAATCAGAACACAGAGGGGTACCATTTGCTCTACCATGTTCTGTGTCAAGCTAATTAACATAGTTAATAAACTCCAGTGGCTTTTTGTTGCCCTAGAGCAAATATAAAACACTTTGTTTGGCATTCAAAACCCTTTATAACCTAGTCACCTCCTACCTTTTCAGTCTTCTAACACCTTACTATCCAATACATACTCTCCTGTTCAGTGACTCTGGCCTCCCTGTTCTGCCACAAATAAAATACTCCATTTCTTTTTTATTTATCTATTTATTTACTTACTTATTTACTTGCTTCTTTACTTCTTTACTTATTTATTTTAGGCAATTGGGGTTAAGTGATTTGCTCAGGGTCACACAGCTAGTAAGTGTCAAGTGTTTGGTCTGAGGTCACATTTGAACTCAGATCCTCCTGACTTCAGGACCGGTGCTCTATCCACTGCACCACCTAGCTGCCCCCCAAATACTCTGTTTCTTAGCTTTAGGCATTCTCCCTAGCTTTCCCCATGCCTATTTTTTGTCTCCTTTTGTATCACCAGCTGTTATCACAGTACTTGGCATATAGTCAGTGCTGAATAAATGTTTATTGATTAAACATAACAGTTGCTGATATGGACAGTCTGCAACCCTATTCTGCCCTTATCTATATCTTAGATCTATAGGAGGAGGAACATTAAAATGTCCATGGTGCTAATTCAATCAGTAGAATTGTTGGAGCCTAGTCAGCTGATGTTTCAGGATTCCAACGAGGCCTTAATAGCTACTATAGCAGTCTTAGGGTACATGAAGCCCCTAACTATAATTCCGTTACTTTGCTATTTATGCTCTCTCATGACATGTTCAATGAAGATATTGGGCTTTTAGGAGGTTATAATTATTTTTAAATAGTAACATAAACCTTTTGTATTCTAAGCTTATGCTTATCCCAACTTTGGTCTTTTCCATTCTTAAAGAGGAGAAGGAAAGAGGGAAGAGAGTAAGCTTTTATTAAATGCTTATGTGCCAGGCATTATGCCAAGCCCTTTATAAATGTTATCCCATTTGACACTTGATTACATTTTATACTTCTAAGACAGACTCTATAAGTATATCACATTTTACAGATGAGGAAACTGAGGCTTAAAAGGTGAAGCCATTTGCTAGCATTCACACAACTTGTAAGTATTGGAAGCTAGACTTCCTAATTCTAAGTCCACAACTTTACAACCGCTATGCCATGCTTATGAGTTCAGTTTAAAAAAATGCTTCTCTGAGTAATTTATTCAGTGTCCTTGAACAGTATTTTGCTAGTGTATTAGAGTCCAAATAAATATAAAACTCAAACAAAATGTTTTTCTAATTTAGCATTATATTTTTAAAAAATATAACAGATACCAGTCTACCAATGGTTGAGCCATACATGGGGCTAATTTCCAATCCTAATCTCTAAAGTAAAACCATGTGCATCCTAAGCAGATAAAGAGAATGGGAAAACTATTATCCATACATTTAAACAGATTCACAAATGAACACCAAAAAAAAATCTAGGTGTGCTCTATGTCCTCTTGTTAATTTGTCAGATGCTCTTTTTTTTTTTCTTAAAAAAGTATAGAGCTGTAGCCAATTTCTATGCTGTCTGAGTCAAATGATCTTTCTTTTTTATAAATATTTTGACATTTTTCTTTATTATTTTTATGACATCCTGATGTCCCCTCATGTGAATATGTCATAGCTTATTCTCCTATCCTTTGATGAAGGGATATCAACATGCTTCCAGTTTTTTCCATTATGAATAAAGTAGCTATAAATATTTTTGTGCATATGGCTAATTTACTTTTCTTGCTACGATTAAGGTAGAATCCTAGCAGTGGAATCACACAATTTATTTTTCAGTTCATTGAATGTGTAGTCTAATTTTGAGAGAAAGGAATGAAGGATAAACTGATGCTTTCACAGTAACACCTTTCACATTATATTACACTATCAGTAAAGCAGCTTTAGTCTAGTCATTGATTGGATGATTAGAGAAATCATATGAATTCTGGCTATATTGAGGGGCCTCTGTGCCATTTGACCGAAGTCACTTCTTGCAGTCCGCTTGTCATTGGGTGAGATATCCCTTTTCTTCCTGGCAAAGAGATGTGACTTGGTGGTTTCCATCAGGTCTCTTCCACGTCGGGAAAGGTTGGGAAGTTAGGGGGAAATCATGAGAAGACTTAGGTTTGAATCTTGGCTCTCTCATTTTACTGCCTATACTTACACCTTGGACAAATCCTTTTCTCTTGCTGTTCTACTTTCTTCACCTACAAAAAATGATATAATTAGGCTACATCTGGGCTTCTTAACTTTCTTGTGTGTCATGTGTCTCTAGGAATCTGATGAATCGTAATGCCCCCTTCTCAGAAAAATATTTGTAAATGCAGGAAATAAAATATGTAGGATTACAAAGTAAACCAGTTAAATTGAATACAATCATCAAAATATACTTTTTAAAAAGTTCACACACCCTAAGTTAAGAACTCCTGGGATAGATGATGTATCAGCTTGATTATAGCTCTTTCTATTTTTCTGTGGTTCTTACATCTTCATTGGCATCAGCAATTCCTTATAGAGAGAATAGATATTCATTATGAAATAAATACTAAAAGGGGGGCAGCTAGGTGGCGCAGCGGATAGAGCATTGGCCCTGGATTCAGGAGGACCTGAGTTCAAATTCGGCCTCAGACACATAACACTTACTAGCTGTGTGACCCTGGGCAAGTCACTTAATTCCATTGCCTAGCCCTCAAAAAAAAAAGAAATACTAAAAGGTATTGAAGTGCCTTCTGAAAAGTCAGATATTAGATTATGTTTAACATAATTTCAGCATTGGAAATTTTATAATGTTCTGCTCATAGTTAATGTCTATTATCCATATAGGGTACCTGTCTGCTAAAGTTAGAATATTATATAAACTAGACCCACTCAGTTTGGAAATTAACTGTATTCTTAAAAAATTTTTTGTCAGATATAAAAAGTAGTAAAGTATGGGATTGCTTAAGAAATAGATAAACTAAGTGATTTATATTAGGTTCCAGAGGGGATGCGTTATAAGGGAGCTACTATTTTTTTTTTATCATTTATGTATACTATTGCCTCTTTTTTTATATAGACTGCCTCCAAACTTCACAGAACAAATTGCCTTAATAAAAGGATTTGTTCTATAAAACTTGGACTCAGTCAAAAGGCTGCACCCAAGGATCTAGAAGGCCACATGGGCCGTCCATCCTTGTTCTAGACATTATTGGCAGCTCCATATTAGTTGTTGTCAA